TGTGTTCTATCATGAAAATGAATATACAAGTACTCGGTGGACTGAGGGCATTGCTTGCAAGCACATATCACTGAATAAAAATTCATTCTTTCGGTAAAGACGTTATTGGAGAAATAGAAAGAATCGACTGAACCTGCAGATAGAAAAGTACAGTATTATAAAATCGGACGCTTTTCGATAAGAATGATGGAGAGATAATATTCACACGATATCTTGAAACCATTCGTTAGGAAAGACCGAAAATTACACTAACATGTTTACTTACCATAACACTGAGACGGCAGCACGCATTCGCCGTTTCTGTTGCGAACGTGGCCCTTAAGGCAGAAGCATCCGGCAGTGCATGAAGGACAGGGCAGTGTAAACTGATTGCGTATGGAATCACAGGTTTCTTCGCATGATCCACATGGGGAATAAACTTCGTTCCTACCACATGTTACGCCACGCGGTGCAGGTGTATATCCAGATGGCTGAGGGTAAAACGGTCTGGGTTGCGGATATGAAGGTTCAGGCGACGGTGGCACAGCAGCTGGATAAGAAGGTCGGGGGTACGGCACCGGTGTTGAGTAGGGAGTCGCTAGTGGTACATCTGAATAAATTGCTACACCTGGCTGAACTGCATAGCCGGGGTAGTGAGATGTAGATGGATAAGGAGCTATTCCAGGTTGTGAAACAGCACTAGGAGCAACGCTGGGTGAAGGGTACACCCCAGGAGATGGGTGTTGACTTTGTCTGGGATACTGATCAGGGGTTGGGTACAATCCTGGAGATGGATATTGACTTGGTGTGTGATACTGACCAGACGCTGGATATTGACTTGGTTCAGAGTAAGGCGCAGGAGCGGGAACATACGGTATTAATGTAGGATGCGGTTGCGCAGCTGGGTACGGTTCTGGATAAACTGGTTTCGATACAGGTCCGGGAGTCGCGATAGCATTCGTTTCCGGATGTGGGTATTGCACTTGAGCAGGTTTCGGGCTTTCATGAGAGGGATACGTCATTGGATGAGGTTGATACGGAGGCGGTGTCTGTAAATATGCTAAAATATTGTCTATCAGTTGAGAAA